TGCGCCGTCCTCATTCCCGCTTCGTTTCCCTTTCCCTTTCCCTTTCCCTTCCCCTTTCCCTTTCCCTTTCCCTTTCCCTTTCCCTTTCCCGCTAATGGGCCCCATCTCCTCCATCAGACGCTGAGACATGCTTATGTAGATTCCCAATGCTGGGAATTTGCAGGAATCTCCTACCAAGTCCCAGCCCTTCTGGGCAAAGGGACTGGTCCCTGTTGAGCAGACCCAAATCAGGCCACAGCAGCAGCCACACCGTGATCCTGGTCAGCCCCTCTCGGGGACACGCCATCCTTTGGAGACACATTTGCCATGGACCATGTCGCGTGTCTAAGCCATGAGTCCTCTCCCAGCTGAACGCAGGGGTTATGTGCCCGGGCGGGATCTGGGTCTTCATTTCTCTAGGGATGGCCACACCAAAGCGATGCTTTCCCATTTGTCGCTGGGAATTTGTGCCGCATAGCTTCTTGCAAACTTTTGGCATTTCTGTTCTTCCTAGCCATGTTTTCCAGGATCCAGGTCTCCACTACGCAGGTGGTGTTTACAGGCTTCATTCCTGGACATTTAAATTTGCATTTCCTTGGACTAAAATGTAGTTTGGATGGACCCAACCAACCAGTTGACCTAGTTGCGCTCTCTCATTATCCTGTCCTCATTCTTGTTCTCTCCTCACCAACCTTTATGTCACCTGCCAACGTTTGCAGCTGGGAGCTCACGTTTGCTGCTCGTTGGTGAAATCCTGAAGAACGTGGCCATGGGAGCACCTTGCTGTGCTGGTAACTCTTCATCAACAGCTCCTGCTGTTGAGCTGTCAGTGAGCGACCCCTAAACCCCTTCACTGCAAACTTTATTAGTACTGCCTGGCATCCTCCTGGGTATTTCACATGATGGAGATCAAAGACCTCATGGCGGTGTTGGATCAGTGTGGTTGCTTTAGCCAACTCAGTCTGAAGACTTTTTCTCAAGGTCTCTTTTTGATAAAGCCTTGTTGATGGGCACCAAGTATATCGCTGGTTTCTATCCGTTGAATCCCATGTTGTTTTCTTGCTGGAAGTGAGGTCAGGCTCGGTTGGTTGGGGATATCAGCCAGGGTTATGCTGGATCTCCAGGGGTTGCCATGTTGGCACTGAGGGGTTATGGCACAGGCCAAGCGTGCAGGCACCTGCTCCCCAGGAACCTGGACTGAAAACTCAAATCAAACGTGCAGTGCTCTCCTGGCTTTTAATATAGAGTCTTACTGTGCAACCTTTCTGAATCAGTAAGTTTGGAAAACCCAGAGTCACAAAAAAGAGCTAATATGGATTTCTCAAGTACAAAACAACTTCATTTTTCCTTTTCCTTTGGTTTGTGGCATAAAAAGAAAAGAGTAGATGCAATATTTTCATTAATAATGAAGGAAATATTAAGATAAACCGGATTTAAAATTGGCACATTGGATTGAAAAATCACTTTCATCAAGGATTTGTCTTAATTTTTTGCTAGGCTGGACAACACTTGAGAATACAGTTATATAGAATATATACACTTTACAAGGTTATATACAGTAGATATACTTTATAATACAATTAGAATTTGTATTATTAGATTACAAACCTAAATGTCCATCAGAAGTCTTATACTCTTGCAGAAAGGGGTAAATTTTGCTCTGCGCTGTTTCAGCCGGGACAGGTAGTTATGCCCCGAGACTCTCTGCAGATGAAGCCTTCGCTGGAAGACGGTGTCTCATCCGTGGGGCTTTGCACTGCGATACGGATGTCCACCAGACATGAGGTCAGGGGAAGGCAGTAACGACCAGAGGGCTGAAAAAAAATGACCTATGAGAACAAAAAAGGAAGGAATTTGGTTTGCTTAAAAAAGACAAGACTGACATAGTAACAGTTTTCCAATAAAGGTTGTCGCGGGGCGCAAGAGTGATCATCCTCCGTAACCACCAAGGAGGGAGAAATCGGCTTCGCTTCTGGCACGGAGCTCGGGGAAGCACCCGGGCTGGAGGTGTCGTACGGGGAGCCACGTCATGGGATATTTTTAAGGGAAGGTCAGACAAAAGTTGCCAAGCTTGGCTGCCCCTGTGGAGTCTCAAGCTGCAGGGCTCCGTCCCTAGGTCACAGTGGAGATATTTAGGACACGCTGGCCGTAAGAGGCTTTTGGTTTTTTTGGTTTTTTTTTTTTCTTCCTCTCAGCCAGTGTCACAGCAGACCCTTTCCTCGATGAGCAGCAACAAAGCCAGTGCAAGAATTCCTTGTTGGGCACCAGGGGGGTCTGTGTTTGGGGTGTGCTGATGCAGCCACGTGGAGAAAAGGATATGGGTTTTCCCCCCCTCCCCCTTAATCTTTATAGCTTGGCTGATGATATTTTACAGTTTAGGCATTACTTAGAATAAATTTTAAGCTATTGAGCTTATATTTGTGCAGTTTTTCTGTGCAGGCTGGTTTATTGGATGGGGCTGACGGCACTCGCAGGGTGCGCTCACAGCCCGGGGGATGCTTCTGACCCCCCGGCTCCTTTCCTTTGCTCCGGAGGGGTGTGTGGGGGCCAAGGTCCAGTGCGATGGGAATCCTCGTCCCCTTTCGGCCACTCCTTTCCCTTAACTCCCTGTCTGTCCCGCAGGGTACTTCCCCTATGAGAAAGCTGGGGCTGCAACAAGCTTTCCTGAACCGGTCCTTGAGGCAAAACCTCCCCCGCCGGGGCCGGGGCCGGCCGAGGAAGAGCTGATGATGATGGACATGGACCCCGTGCCCCACCACGACCTCAGCGAGTACGTCCCGAGGATACGACTGCCTCAGGGGTACCCACGGAGGATTTCACATCATCCTGTGTCTGAGGGGCGGGAGTGGCGGTTGCCCGAGCTAACCCCAGCCTGTGGACCGGGAAAAGGGTGCGGACCCGGCCGGCCCGGCGGTGCCTTGGTAGGAAGCAAACCGGTAAGTCCTGGGTGGAAAAGATGCGTGGAAAGGGGTGCTGCTGTGCAGGGATGGGGTTTGGGGGCTGGTGGGCATGGAAGGGATTTCCTCGGTCCAGGGGTGTGAAGTGGGAATTTCATATGGGCATGCATGGCAAGGATGGAAAGTTTAGTGTGTTGTGTAGAGAAATAGCAAGTACACGGACATTTCCAGCAGTAGCAAATCCACCACACCTTCAGGAAATCGTTGTAATGGTTAATTACTCTTCCTCATCAAAAAGCCTTAACTTCTCATTTGGTTGAGTTTTAGCTTCAAATCTCAGCCACTAGATCTTGCGTTACGTTGTGCTACGCAGCCAGGCTTGTGTTTCCTTTGGGTGAACTGGGAGGCTTGCCGCTGCCCTCCGCCGCCTCCTCCTCTTCCTCCTCCTCCCGAAAAGAGAGCGCTCCTGGCGCCTTTGGTTACGTGTCGGGTTTCTGACCCCTTAACTGCTCCCACCTGAATTTCCCACCATCGTTATTGCTCGAAACACAAGCACTGGGATTTGCCGATGGAGCTGGGTGCTGCATTGCACGGCACCGCCGGTGTCACTCGGGACCAACATGTTTGAGCCCCTTATTTCTTCCGGAGCCAGAGATGGCGTTTGTCACATCACAGCCAGCCGGGGCTCTGCAAATCCCCTGAAGGCAGAGATTAGAGGTTTGACCTGTCGAGTCAAAAGCTGGCTTGGATATAAATCCCAAGAAGGGGCATTC